TTTTTTTTTTTTTTTTTTTTTTTTTGTGGAAGTTACAGAATGGAGAACGACGGTGACGGATTGATGAAAACGCCATCCATGCAAACCAACAAGGATGGTTCCAAGGAAACGCAACCGCCGCATGAAGAACTCCCGCAGTCGCGATTGCAACAACAGCAACAAGAACAGACACAAACGCAAACGCAAACGCAAACGCACGCGTTACCTCAACCGCATCCGCAGCCGCAAAGGAAACAATCATCAGAGCAAGAGGGTCAAACGCAAACGCTGAAAGCGCCTAGATTCCGTTGTTTCTCCTTCTCTTGCTTTTGTTTTCCGCTTCGATGTTGTTGACTCGTGTAGACAAACGGGAGAACAATTAGATCTACGTACGTTCAAATGACTTTGCGAAATTCGGAGTCTTTGGCAGTTTCTTTGCATATGTAATAAAAAAAAAGTAGATTATTAGAGATTCATGTAATATCTGTAATATATATTATCGACATATATTATAGATATGTCCAACACGAATTTTGAATATGCAAAGCTTGAATCTTCTTTTTCAATGTAATTGATGATATATACATACACGTGTATCCTATGTCATGCTCATGCATGCATCGATCGTAATTAAATACAATGCATATGACTAGTTTATGCCCACGTACGAATGCTGCCAATGCAAATTTATGTGAAATTTGAAAATGCATATATATATATAAATATTGGGTCACGTGACCACCACCACCGTGTCCTGAGTTATTACCCTTCACATAATTGAATGATAAATACAATTATATATAATAATAATAATAATACATGCATGTAAATATATATGTCTGCAGTCACGTACGTTGGGTTGCTATCTACCAATTAGATGTGGCTTAGGGATTAGGGAAAAAGGTGACAAAACGAAAGCAGATGTGTAGTTATTATACTAAGCATTTAATCAAGCCAGATGTCTCTCCTTTATATACAAATCCATCTCCCCCTCTACTTCTCAAAAATCATGTATAGATTTATTTATTTATAATTTGGGAGAAATTATATATATTAATATTTGTGTGACCAATCGAATATTTTTACCCAAAAAAAAAATAATATTGTCGGTTTTATGATTTACAGTGTGCAGAGGAAAGGGGTAAAAGTGGGGGGTAAAATCAGGTAGAAATGTGAATGAAAAATGGGGGACCATTTTTAATATATAGTTGGCTTTTGATCAGTAAAAGTAATAAAACCTAAACAATCTCTCCCTTTTTTTTTAAAATCTTCTTCTTTTCTTCAGTTTTCTATTCTCGAGATGCCGACACACACCCTCTCCTGCTACTTTTATCTCTATGTGTATATACATACAGACATCTACATATATATATTTATGCATGTTTAAGTGTATATATATGAATGTCTATATATACATACATAGACGCATATGTTTTTATTTCGTTTTATATATATAGTTTCGGTATAATCACAAAATAAAATTCTTCATTATATTAAAGAGTATGTTAATAACAAATATTACATAATATCTAAATCCACATATCATAGAAATATCACTAACAAAATAAGATATTCGTGATAACAAAATACTGATGAAGACAACAAGTTATTCCTCATGAGACTACAAGCTTTTGAATCCATGATTAAGACACGACTCAATGGGGACTCTCTCTCTCTCTCTCTCTCTCTCTCGATGAAATGTTCATCACTTCCCTCTCCCTCTTTTGTTTTTCTGCTTTCACGCTACATATCTATACGAAGAATAGATAGTAAGAGTATTTAATTTGTTGGAGGGCCGAGTTCATCGCCAAGGTGTTTAGGGTTTATAAATAGTGGTACGTACGTATCGATTGGTAAATTCGATTGATGTACCTATTCATTATATATGTATATAATATATATATATATATATATATATATATATACTTGTTCAAACCAGATTTAATATATATATATATATATACTTGTTTTGGAAAGGACAATATAGGCAAGGTACGAGAGGCGTGCGTTTGAGTCACCCACATTTACCGCTTTTGTTGTTGTCGACAACGCCTGCCCTCCCTCACTCTTCCAAAATCCGAGTACGAGATTGCAACTTTATTATTACAACATATACATAAAATGTATAATTACAAATCTAGTATTCTTATTATTATCCGAGTATATTTGATATTCTAATTATCCTTATATATTTTTCCGAATAGAAAAATTCAACAATTACTCCCCAAATTCTTTTTTTCTCAAACCGTTAATTAAAAGCTTATTAAATTACTGGTTTTTTTTTTTTTGCTTCACAATATAACCTTGCGATGACAACCCCCATTTCGAAATGTATACATGTGTTATTCGTTTTTATGGTGAGGAAGCATTAAATTTTTCAATTGTTTTTGGTGGGGATAGAGATATATGCCACGTGGCACTACGAGGTCCATTGCTTTAGACATTTTCAGTGCAATTCTTCCGGGTTTGGACTTTGGAGTCATGTGGTAGGGTTTCGATCACTTCGCCCGAGCATCTTTTTTTTCTTCAATTGATTTTACTTAACTTTGTATTAAGAAAAAAACTTCCACTTTCTCTCCTCCTCCGCCTCCTCCTCTTCATCATCTTCATCTTCGTCATCACCGTCATCATCATCATCATCATCACCACCGTCATCATCGTCATCACCGTCATCTTGTCCATCACTTTTACACGCTTGGTCGGAGCTACGAAACCCTAGACGACGGGCTTTGTGAACCGGACATAACAGTACTTGAGCCGATATCAGGTGAACGTTAGAGCTCGTGACCTGCTTTATCCCTAAACCCTTTGACTTCAAACAGAAAACGTATTTGACTGCTAACGAAAGCCCTAGTTATAAATATCGATCTAGTGAAATTTCACTATAACCTCTTTTCTTCCCCCCCTTTTTTTTTTTTGCTGAAAGGTATTTAGTTTATTATGAAGTTCTTGTGCTTCAATCCTTCTTAATTATCAGCTTCATTTTATCGCCAGTCTTTGGATTTAATGATATGCATGCCCAGAAAGTTTAATTCTTGGCCGAATCTCGAGTCCATATGCCCTCCACATGAAACCCTAAATCCGACATAAGATGCCGAATCCAGTATTAATCTTTTTAGGGCAATCAATATATATATATATATATATATAATTTCACAGGAAAACAAGCTATAGATCTGTTCTTATAAGAATTCGCAAGAATCTTCAATATATATAGTTAGTATTGGATTTGTTTTAATCTTTTGCATACTCAAGAAACTGACTAGCTCCTAATTACATGGATCGACGGCGGCGGAAGACAAGGAGAGAGGTAACAAGATGAGTACGGCGACTTGGAAAGAGGAAAACGGCGACGTTTCAGCCGCCGATGGCAGAACCGTAATTACAAAGGGGCCGCCGCCAGCTTCGTCGTCGTGGTCATGGTTAAGGTCGAAGGACCCGAGGATCGTTAGGGTTTCGAGGGCGTTCGGAGGCAAAGACCGTCACAGCAAGGTGTGTACTTTGAGAGGGTTACGTGACAGGCGCGTGAGATTATCAGTCCCCACGGCCATTCAGCTCTACGACCTCCAGGACCGGCTCGGCGTTGACCAACCCAGCAAAGCCGTTGACTGGTTGCTCCACGCCGCCAAAGACGAGATCGACGCGCTCCCTCCTCTCCCCATCTCGCCGGAAAACTTCGCCCTCCTCAACCACCACCACCGGCCCTTCTTGAGTCTCAACCCGGGTCTCGGCCCGAGTCAAGAACCGGGTCAACTCGGCGACGAAGGCCGAGAGCGTGGTCGCGAGAAAGAGGACGATGAGGGAGGAAAAAACGACGCGGTTTTGGGTACTATCAATTGTATCGATGAGAGAGAGAATTCTGTTATAGAGAGAGAATGTAGAGAGAGAAGAAAATGGTGAAATATGAACTCTATATTGATCAGTGTACGCTCCTGAGTATAAATACTCTGTTTGAATACAAACCTTCTGTTTCTAACTCAGGTTTCACTCACATATACACTATATGTATAGTATACTCTAATATACCCCCCTCAAGTCTATGATTCCTTTGGAGGAAGAAATAGACTTGAAGTTTGGAATTTTGTCATCATCGAGTGAAACAGAGCTGGTTGCAGAGCCTTGGTCAGAAAATCTGCGAGTTGGTTTTCCGACTTGACATGCATCGGATTTACCAAACCTTCTCGTAGCTTATCACGAATAATATGGCAGTCCAGCTCAATGTGCTTCGTTCTTTCATGGAATGCAGCATTTGAAGCAAGATATAGCGCCGATTTGTTATCACAAAACAGGTTGGCAGGTAGAGCAACTGTAATATGAAGTTCTTTCAGCAAGTTTGTCATCCATATGATCTCACAGGTTGCATTAGCTAAAGCCCTGTATTCAGCTTCTGTACTGCTTCTTGACACTGTATTCTGCTTCTTGGATTTCCATGACACAAGAGAACTACCAAGGAAAACCAAATAACCAGTAATAGATCGTCTTGTATCCGGACACGTGCCCCAATCTGTGTCTGCAAATGCCTGAACTTTGGAATCTGAACTCGAGGAATAGAATAGCCCTTGTCCAGGATTATTCTTGAGATACCTGATGATTCTGTGTGCAGCCTTTAGATGCTCATCGGTTGGTGCTGAAAGAAATTGGCTTAACTTGTGAACTGAAAAACTTATGTCTGGTCTGGTAATAGTCAAGTATAGCAACTTCCCCACCAAAGCTCGATAAGGAGAGGAGTCTTGCAACAGTACTCCTGTGTCTTTACTCAAGTGTAGATTTGGGTCCATTGGGACAGAAACTGGCTTGCAACCGGATAATCCAGTCTCTGTTAAAAGATCCAAACAATATTTCCGTTGACAGATTGAAATCCCTTGAGCTGATCTTGCAATTTCCAAACCTAGGAAAAACTTCAGAGGACCAAGATCTTTGATGTTAAAGTTATTCCTTAGCAGGCTTTTTAACTCATCAACAGCCTTATTGTTATTGCTAGCAATAACAATATCATCGACATATACCAACAGAGCCACAAAGGAGTCATTGTGCTTCATTACAAACAGAGAGTGATCTGTTTGAGATTGTCGATAACCTGCCTTCAGTAACACAGATGAAAACTTTTGATACCACTGACGTGAAGCTTGCTTTAATCCATATAAAGACTTTTTTAGCTTACACACAGCTTTCTCAGGTAATTTCACGCCATCAGTAGGTGTATAACCTTGTGGAAGAGTCATGTATATTGTCTCATCTAAGTCTCCATGCAAAAATGCATTCGAAACATCCATCTGTGATAAAGACCAATTTTGTGATGCAGCTAAAGCCAAAAGTACCTTGACTGTAGTTAATTTCGCAACAGGAGAAAATGTATCTGTATAATCCACACCTTCTTGCTGAGTATATCCTTTAGCAACTAGTCGCGCCTTGTATCTATCGACTGTACCATCAGCCTTCCTCTTTATCTTATATACCCATTTACACCCAATTGGCTTGTGATCCTTTGGAAGTGAAACAATTGACCAAGTATTGTTCTGAATGAGAGCAGATAACTCTTCATTCATTGCAATCTGCCAATCTGATGAGGTTATAGCTTCTTTGAAATGTCGAGGTTCGGTCTCAAGGTTAAGGTTCAGAATGTATCTTTGGTAAGTAGGAGAAAGTTGTTGATAATCAACATATGAAGACATCGGATAAGGGGTGGTAATCACAGATTTTTCAGTATTATGTTGAGTAGCATAACACTGATAATCTGATAGATAAGATGGTGGGTTGGTTTTACGAAATGGTCTGGTATTTGATGGTTCTGGTCTGTCTGGATGAATGGGTTGGTTATTTGGATCTGGTTGAGTAAAGTGGGTGGTCTGTTCTGGTTCAATAGGTAGAGAAATTGGTAAAGGTAATATGGTTGTGGGAAATATATCATCAGGTGATTGATTTACAGTAGAAGGTATTGAATGAAAAGGAAATATGGTTTCATGAAACTCGACATTTCTAGAAATATATACCTCATGTGTCTCAGGATCCAGTAGTTTGTAGCCCTTGACACCAGGTGGATAGCCAATGAAAACTGCAGCTCGTGCCCGAGGTGAAAACTTTGTCCTATCTTTCAGAAGTGTAGTACTGTAAGATAGACAACCAAACACACGAAGATGTGAGTAGGAAGGTGCTTTACCATTTAATACTTCGTATGGAGATTTCTGATCCAGGAGAGGTGAGGGAATACGATTTATCAGAAAAACAGCAGTTCTGACACAATCTGTCCAATATCCCAGTGGTAGCTTCGATTGGAACAACAGAGATCTTGCAACATTTAACACATGTTGATGCTTCCTTTCTACTACTGAATTCTGTTCAGGTGTGTTGACACATGAGAAATGATGAATAATTCCCTTTTCTTGACAGAAATCTGTAAACTTCAGCTCATGGGCATTATCTGATCGAATGATTTTTATTTTCGATCTGTACTGAGTCTCTATCATGGTAACAAAAGCAGGAAAAAGATGCAACACATCACTTTTATTATGAAGAAAGTAAATCCATGTGGCTCGAGAACAATCATCAACAATTGTTAAAAAATATCTATATCCTTCAACAGACATTGTAGAAAAAGGACCCCAAATGTCTAGATGAATTAGATCAAAAGGATGATCAGATACATGATTATTGAAAGGAAAGGGTAAACGTCTTTGTTTCGCTAAATGACATGTCTGACAGTGGGTCAAGTCTGTACATTTAGGAAGAGATAGAGCTGAAGAGAGGGTCTTTATTCTGGCTATGGAAGGGTGGCCCAGTCTTTGGTGCCATATGTTTGTATCTGCTGTAAGAGCATTGCAGGAATGAAATGAAGATGAAGATGGTGGTGCCGGGGAAAAAGTTGGATCAAGAATGTAGAGGTTCTGCTGAAGATCAGCTTTCCCAATCATCCAGTCCAGAGTAGGCACCTGAATCATACATGAATCGGAAGAAAAAATGACAGAAACAGAGTTCTGCTTTAGTAATGCAGAAACACTGATAAGGTTGAAAGCAAAGGTGGGAACATATAGGACGTTTTGTAAGGTTAAAAATGAGTTGATGTTGACAGTACCAGCATGTGTAATAGTGATGTGATGCTTATTAGGTAATGTTACCATGACAGGAGAAACAGTACTGAGATCAGAAAATAAATCTCTATTCACACAGACATGTGTTGATGCTCCAGAATCAATGATCCAAGTACCAGGAGACATACAGTTTGATTGTATAGAGCTTGAGCAAATGTAAGAATGTTGCGTACCAGATGATGGATGAGATTCTGCTGCCCCATCAGCAGTAATAGTGGCATTGACAAAAGCCATTTTATTGGAGATCTCTGCATAGAGCTTCTGGAGTTGATCAGGAGACAACTCTGTAATTGGAGGGAATTGTGATGTGTTCATGTCCATAGCTGGCATAGACTGAACTGAAGCAACAACAGGTCTCTGTTGTGGAGGATGTGGTCCTGAATACTGATATGCAGAATTCGGCCTGACATTCTGTTGAGGAACATATGGTCGAGGATTGAATGGTCGAGGAGCTGAAGCTGGTCCAGATTGCTTGTAGCCTGGTGGATAACCATGTAGCTTATAGCATTTCTGTACCACATGACCATATAGTCCACAGTGTGTACATAATGGTCTCTGTTTTGGTCTAAAGTTACCTCCAGAAACGGCAGCCACAACACCATCTGGAATTGCTGAAGCTTGAAGAACAGGTGAATCATTAAGATTTGGATTCTTGACCAGTCGCTGTTGTTCATGTTGAATGATCAAGTTGTAGGTCTTGTCCAGATCAGGTAGTGGATCTTGCATAATAATCTGTCCTCTGATAGTTTCAAATGAATCATTCAGTCCAAAAAGGAACTCAATGACAAAGTCCTCTTCATGATGCTCATACCATTTCTGATTAAGATCACAAGTGCACCTTCCACACGAACATTTCGGACTATTACGAACAGACTTCAATTCTTCCCAAAGTGTGAAAAGTTTGTTGTAATAATTGCTCACATCAGATGAACCTTGAGAGAGAGATCGAAGTCGCTGCTTGATACTATATCTCCGAGGAACATGATTCTGCTTGTAACGTCGAGAGAGATTGTTCCATATATCTTTCGCAGTTGATATATGAAGCAAACTTGGCGCAATTATCTTTGAAACTGAATTCATCAACCAAGAACTGACTACAGCATTATTCCGAGACCATAACCTAGAATTTTGATGATTCTCAGGTGGTCGAGGCAAAGATCCATCAACAAAGCATAATTTGTTTCTACCTTCTAATGCCATCGAAACAGAGCGATGCCAAGAACTGAAGTTTTCTGGTCCACTTAATCGATCTGATACAAGAACTACATTTGTATGGTCACTTGAACCAAGATAGTAATGACTGGTGATAGGTACCTCAGGAAGTTCTTCGAGATCTTCGAACGGAGCTTCCATGACGATGAACAATTTGCAAAGAATCTCAGAAAAAATTTGATCTGGATAAAGATCAAATCGAAATGAAATGACGAAAAGAATGATTGAAGCGGAGCAATTCACTGCTCTGATACCATATCAATTGTATCGATGAGAGAGAGAATTCTGTTATAGAGAGAGAATGTAGAGAGAGAAGAAAATGGTGAAATATGAACTCTATATTGATCAGTGTACGCTCCTGAGTATAAATACTCTGTTTGAATACAAACCTTCTGTTTCTAACTCAGGTTTCACTCACATATACACTATATGTATAGTATACTCTAATAGGTACCGACATTCATCAGCTGCAGCAACATAATGATCAACATGTTGTATCTTTCTACAACATGGAACATCATCGTCATCACCATGGCCATGACCATTCGGGTTTTCATGAGACAGATCATCGTCATCATCAAAGCCATAACCTTGTCCCATTTCCATCGCAAATCTTGTTCTGTCCGACGACAACACAGTCTCTGTTCCCATCACCGGTGGATCCAACACAAGTGGCGAGCCACTTTCAAGTACAGGATTCGTCCGAAAACGCGCCGACTGAACATCCTTTGATACACGGTCTTGGCTTTCATCACAATGCTCGAGTTCCTGTTCATTTCGATCAGGCCGATGGTAACGTGTCTAAGATTCTAGGCTCCGGTCGAGAGTAGCACGAGCGGAAGAAGATGATCGATCATCCGAATTGATCATTAATGGAGGTGAAAAGAACAGATTAATTTAAGGTGGTATTTTTTTTTGGATATAATCAAGGTCATCACCGTCATCATCTTCATCTTCGTCATCACCGTCATCATCATCATCATCATCATCACCACCGTCATCATCGTCATCACCGTCATCTTGTCCATCACTTTTACACGCTTGGTCGGAGCTACGAAACCCTAGACGACGGGCTTTGTGAACCGGACATAACAGTACTTGAGCCGATATCAGGTGAACGTTAGAGCTCGTGACCTGCTTTATCCCTAAACCCTTTGACTTCAAACAGAAAACATATTTGACTGCTAACGAAAGCCCTAGTTATAAATATCGATCTAGTGAAATTTCACTATAACCTCTTTTCTTCCCCCCCTTTTTTTTTTTTGCTGAAAGGTATTTAGTTTATTATGAAGTTCTTGTGCTTCAATCCTTCTTAATTATCAGCTTCATTTTATCGCCAGTCTTTGGATTTAATGATATGCATGCCCAGAAAGTTTAATTCTTGGCCGAATCTCGAGTCCATATGCCCTCCACATGAAACCCTAAATCCGACATAAGATGCCGAATCCAGTATTAATCTTTTTAGGGCAATCAATATATATATATATATATATATAATTTCGCAGGAAAACAAGCTATAGATCTGTTCTTATAAGAATTCGCAAGAATCTTCAATATATATAGTTAGTATTGGATTTGTTTTAATCTTTTGCATACTCAAGAAACTGACTAGCTCCTAATTACATGGATCGACGGCGGCGGAAGACAAGGAGAGAGGTAACAAGATGAGTACGGCGACTTGGAAAGAGGAAAACGGCGACGTTTCAGCCGCCGATGGCAGAACCGTAATTACAAAGGGGCCGCCGCCAGCTTCGTCGTCGTGGTCATGGTTAAGGTCGAAGGACCCGAGGATCGTTAGGGTTTCGAGGGCGTTCGGAGGCAAAGACCGTCACAGCAAGGTGTGTACTTTGAGAGGGTTACGTGACAGGCGCGTGAGATTATCAGTCCCCACGGCCATTCAGCTCTACGACCTCCAGGACCGGCTCGGCGTTGACCAACCCAGCAAAGCCGTTGACTGGTTGCTCAACGCCGCCAAAGACGAGATCGACGCGCTCCCTCCTCTCCCCATCTCGCCGGAAAACTTCGCCCTCCTCAACCACCACCACCGGCCCTTCTTGAGTCTCAACCCGGGTCTCGGCCCGAGTCAAGAACCGGGTCAACTCGGCGACGAAGGCCGAGAGCGTGGTCGCGAGAAAGAGGACGACGAGGGAGGAAAAAACGACGCGGTTTTGGGTACCGACATTCATCAGCTGCAGCAACATAATCAACATGTTGGATCTTTCTACAACATGGAACATCATCGTCATCACCATGGCCATGACCATTCGGGTTTTCATGAGACAGATCATCGTCATCATCAAAGCCATAACCTTGTCCCGTTTCCATCGCAAATCTTGTTCTGTCCGACGACAACACAGTCTCTGTTCCCATCACCGGTGGATCCAACACAAGTGGCGAGCCACTTTCAAGTACAGGGTTCGTCCGAAAACGCGCCGACTCAACATCCTTTGATACACGGTCTTGGCTTTCATCACAATGCTCGAGTTCCTGTTCATTTCGATCAGGCCGATGGTAACGTGTCTAAGATTCTAGGCTCCGGTCGAGAGTAGCACGAGCGGAAGAAGATGATCGATCATCCGAATTGATCATTAATGGAGGTGAAAAGAACAGATTAATTTAAGGTGGTATTTTTTTTTTGGATATAATCAAGGTATCTTGGTGTAATGACGTTTTTGATTTAGTTATGAATGACTTCTGTTTTGATCATATGATGAGTTTGTACAAACTTTTCATCTAATGTATGTATGCCCGTTTTGTGTGTATACATTGATTGTTTGTATGCGACAGCTCTGCCTAGATTTTAGTTATAGCGTTGCAAAACATAACGAAATGGATATATATATATATATATATATGTATATGTGTGTGGAGAGAGAGAGAGAGTTGATGCAATTTGTTATAGTTCTGGTTCATTATCAATTCTTCTATATATAAAGATACTCTTGGTTAGCTCAGCCGGTGAAAAAGAGACGCAAAATGTTTGTTCCGTATCGAGTTCGAGTCTCAAATTGGAAAGGGAGATTGCACATTGTTTGCTCACGACCCCGAGATTAATGTGAGTTTCGGCACAAAATATCCGGTTATTAAAAAAAGAAGATATTGGAATTGTATATATATATATATATTGCGCTTCACTGAGTTATAGATATCTATTTACCAGTGTCTCATGTCACTTGTACTCCTCTAATGGAAACTGTGGTTAGTAAATTGGGAATTATGGAACATTTATATTATATAGATATATATATGTATGTATATATCTGTGTGTGCGCTTCTCCAAAGTCTGCTGCTAAAACTGGAAGATAAAAGGGACAATAACTCAAACCAGTTTGGACTGTCGGAGAAATAGCAAAGAAAGCTGCTTTTGTACAAACTGGTCGATTTATGTAAAGGCTGCAGATCCAATGTTCTGCGCCTCCTTCATTTTATTACACACTAGTAAATTATCTCTCTATACACACACACACACATGTATATATGCATGCACTTTGATACACACATATATTGTGCATGCATGCACGCACGCACATATGTATGATATGTATTCATGTATATTCGCCGTAGATGCATGTATAAAATAGCCAATATTTTTATTTTATTTTAAGAAAAACGATTAATGCATTTCTCTGTGTTTTAGAAAGTAGTACTAACTAACCCTTTGACAGTATAAATCGGATTGGAGTAAATTATTAGTATCATCATTACAAAATGAAAATGGATTTTTAATAAAATTCTATTATTGAGATGTAATATAATTAATTTGTTATTATTCTTATTTTTTTCATATTTAAAATATTTTTTGTGTGTAAACTAATCATTCTTACTACTAATTTGCATTCATTCATATAATTAATTTGAAATAGTCTGAACACTATAATTATGTATAAACCGACCAATTTACAGAGTTTTTTTTTTCTCTGGATTTTTTCTATATTTGCTCCTATTATTCGTTTTTTTAAATTAACTATAACTAATTATTATTATTACTACTAGGCAATCTAACCGTTAGCCCACGCGTCAGAAAGACGCAGCACGGTGACGGCCTCTCTATCCGTTCCGTAGTGACGTTATCATCCCCTGTTTCCTAAACGAAATTTTCAAAACTTTGCTTTCTCACTCTCGCTCTCTCCAGATCGAAGGGTTTATGTTGGGTTTAATCCCATTTGAAACCCTAAATTTCGCGGTTTTCGGGTCGTACTCCATTTCTTGGCACCTCTGTTTCTTTGTCATTTTCCCCAAATTCGCTCCTTGTCTAGGGTTTTCACCTGGGTTCGCCGCCGGTGGCTGCTGGCAATTGTTTGTTCTTCTTCCTTGGCGATTCTGCTGTTTCTGGGGGGGTTTTGGTGGAGGAGGCTTCTTCTCTGGTAAGCATTGGACTTCATATGATGTAATTTTCCAACAAAATTGGGTGTTGGTTTCTTGTGCTCTCGTGGTGGCTGGACCCGGCAATTTTCTAGGGTTTCTCTGCGGTTGTGTATTGTTGTTGTTTTGACCAAAATTGATGTTTAATTATGTATCATTTTATTGGTTGTCTTGGTGGATGAGTACCCTTCTCCGGTTCCTTGTCTGATGATTTGCCCTTTCTGTTTTCTTCAAGTTGCGGAGAACAGAATTTCACGACAAATGACTTGATACTGTGTTCTCGACGGATGCGGATATTGTTGGGTTCGCTCAAGAAATGGTTCTACATGTTATGTTGGAAAAAGTTGTAAGAGGTGTTGAATATGAGCAATGGAAGTGGGGAAAGTGGAAGTGAGCAAAGAGAACTACACAGGAAGAGAAGGTCTCATGGCAACGATTTTGCTTATGCGGTCGCAAGAATGGCCGTGGCACAGGTGTGCGAGAGTGTTGAGATCAACACATTACAAGAATCACAGATGCTTGAGAGCTTGAGGTTCAATTCTTTTCAAGAGTCTGCTCTTGAAACACTGACCGATGTTGTGGTCCGGTATGTCCAGAGCATTGGAAAGACTGCATTTTTGTCTGCTAATATGGCCGGTAGATCAGAGGGTAATGCTTTGGATATTGTTCAAGCTTTGGAAGATTTGAATTCTGGGTTAGGTTTTGCTGGTGCTTCGGATGTTGACCATTGTCTTGCTGATTCCGGGGTAGTAAAGGACATTATCCGTTATATTGGAGAAGCAGAGGTGATGCCATATGCGTATTCTCTTCCCCGTTTCCCTATTAACAAAGGAAAAAGCCCAGCGTCGAGCTTTTCAATTATTGGAGCCGAGCCTCCTGATGAGCATATTCCAGTTTGGCTTCCTGCATTTCCTGAAACCAAGACACATGTTCAATCAGAGGCGGGGAGTGATGAGAGAGCTGTTGATGATGATTCTGGCAGATCTGAACTAGATATGCGGAGTAAAGAAAATGGGTCTGCTCATTTAACAATGCAGCTGTCTTCATCTGTTGATCAAAAGGATCTTGAAATATCAGTGGAAGGTAACCCGTTTTTTACTGCTCCTCTTAGATTTGGGGAGAAGGAGGTATCGCTCATTGTCCGCCCTGCAGAGCTTTCAAACGAAGCAGCTAGTATCAATCGCAGTCCCAGAATACACATGATAAACAATCACATTCCATTGTTTGAGGCGTTTACTCCAGCTAATGAGATTGTGGAGAACTGGTCTGAATCTGAGAATAGAGAGAAGAAAGAGCCTACAAAAGCACGGTCACTGGTGCATTTCAAGATCGGGTGTCCAAAGGCACCTATGGGTTTGTCAATAAACCGAAATTTAGAGAACAAGGATAATCGGAAAGTTGCTGCTTGGTTTTGGGAGGGTGATGACAAGAATGAGAAGAAGCCAGAAAATGAAGGAAATTGTGAAAGGATAATTCAGGGACTGACTCAGGTGTAAAATAGGTATCTGTGAGTATGATGTCTACAGGTTTGAGGGAATTGTTAGACGGAGTATGTACTTTCCCCGGACATCCATAGCTGAGATAGTGATAGGTTGCATTGAATGCATGACTTTTAGGGAAAG